ACTAACGCCGGTGTTCCTCAGTGGTCCGTTCTCTCCGCAACTCTCTTTCTGCTGCATATTAATGATCAGCTTATGCCCGGTATCTATGGGTATGCAGACGATAGCACAGTTGTGGAGAGATACCAACCAAGTCGTCGGGCCAGTCGGGATAAAATCCAGTCCGAAAGAGAAGCTATGGTAGGGTGTGTGAATCTCACACTACAGGTAGTCTCCGAATAGGGCGATGCCAATCTTCTGAAATTCAACGCCTCCAAAATACAAGCGTGTCTCTTCACTGCAAAAAGGAGCCAGCTTACCTTGGCTGCTTCTTTCCGAAATGTATCACTGGAATATACCGACCGCCTTCAGTTGTTTGATATATCCTCAAATCTGAGCTTCGGGCGGTTCATTGAGCCCAAGGCAAAAGCAGCTGCAAGGAAGCTGGGAGTCCTTGCAATGGTGCGGTGATAATTCACGCCGGGACAGCTGTTTACTTTATATCAAGCGCAAGTCCGGTCGTGCATGGAGTATTACTGTCATGTATGGGCTAATGCCGTGTAGTGGCGGTTAAGAATATCCACTACCCCATATCTTCCCGTGGGTGTCGTAAAAGGCGACAAAGGGAAACAGGCAGGAGATGGGCAGCAGCATCTTCCTGATAATAGCCAAAATAACAATAAAAAAAAAAAAACTGCGGTTGCCAACCCGCTCGCCAAGCGTGGCAACTATGGCAATATACCCCCCATGAGCAATGACAATAATAAACGGCCCCCAGTCCCCGGCGGCCCCGCTATTCCTGGCTACGGTGGCGACCATGGTAACGGCGGGGCAGGGGGTGCTAAGAATCTCCGGTGGAGGTTCGGTTGCCACCTACGACGACTCGACCTGGCAACATACAACGCACGCACCCTGAGGACTGACGAGAAGATTGTGGAGCTGGAAGAAGAGATAGACAAGTTACGCTGGCATATTATAGGATTATCCGAAGTCCGAAGAGAGGGGGAGGACACGGTAATCCTCGAATCCGGCAACTTGCTCTATTACCGGGAGGGCGACCATCTGTCCCAAGGAGGTGTCGGATTTATCGTCCACAAGTCTCTCGTTAACAACGTTGTAAAGATTGAGAGTGTGTCGACGAGGGTTGCGTACCTTATACTCAGAATCACCAAACGGTATTCGCTGAAGGTCATACAGGTTTACGCACCAACCTCGGCACACCCCGATCAGGAGGTGGAGGAAATGTATGAGGATATCTCTAGAGCCATGCATTCCTCCAAAACCCAATATACGGTGTTAATGGGAGACTTCAATGCAAAACTAGGCACAAGAGAGAACGGTGAGCTGAAAGTAGGGAAATTTGGAATAGGGCAACGGAACCCAAGGGGCCAGCAGCTGGCCGACTTCATGGAGAAAGAGGGACTCTTTATGATGAACTCTTTCTTCCAGAAGCGGCCCCACAGGAAGTGGACCTGGTCGAGCCCCGACGGTTCGACAAAAAATGAGATTGACTTCATTATGACGACCAGACGACAACTGTTCAGTGATGTCTCAGTGATCGCGAGGGTGAAAACCGGCAGCGATCACCGAATGGTTAGAGGCACACTGAACCTAAATGTTAAGTTGGAGAGGTCTCGTCTAATGAAGTCAACGCTCCGTCCCCCTCGTGCTCTTTTCCAAAGTCCCGAAACCTTTCAGCTCGAGTTACAAAACCGTTTTCAGTGCCTAGAAGACTGCAATGAAGTGGACGATTTGAATGACAAGCTCGTGGAAACTGTCCATGCGGTCGGAGCTAAGTTCTGCAAGACCCGCCGCAGAAGAACACAAAAACTCTCCGATCACACTCTTAATCTCATGGCTGTTAGACGGGAGATGAAGCTACATTCTTCAACAGATTTAACAGCATACAGGCAACTGAACAGACAGATCTCCAAATGCATGCGGCGGGACTTACGCAAATTCAATACAGCTCGTATTGAAGAAGCGATCGAGCGGAACCGAGGCTCCAAAGTCTTTGCCAGAGATCTGTCTGCCAGAAAGCGCCAACTGTCAAAGCTGAAGACAGAATGTGGCAGCATCGTTTCCGGGGCACCTGAGATTTTGAGTGAGATTGAGAGGTTCTATGGGCAGCTGTACACGTCATCGTTGGAGCCGCACGCAAGTGTGAGTAACGATCCAAGAGCGAGTCTTATCCGACATTATTCCGATGATATCCCGGACGTCAGTCTGAGCGAGATTAGAATGGCTCTCCAGCACCTTAAAAACGGCAAGGCCCCAGGCGAGGATGGAATTACAGCGGAGCTTCTGAAAGCGGGTGGAAGACCGGTACTTGAAGTCCTTCAGAAGCTCTTTAATTCCGTCCTACATGGTGGCATTACACCGGAGGCGTGGAGCAGAAGTGCAGTGGTCTTGTTCTTCAAGAAAGGCGACAACGCTCTCTTGAAGAACTACAGACCGATTTCCCTTCTGAGCCGCGTCTACGTGCTGTTTTCGAGAGTCATTACGAATCGTCTCGCGCGCAGACTTGACGACTTCCAGCCTCCCGAACAAGCCGGTTTCCGAAAAGGCTTTAGCACCATAGACCACATACATACCCTTCGGCAAATTGTGCAGAAGTCCGAGGAGTACGATTTGCCACTATGTCTGGCGTATGTGGACTATGAGAAAGCCTTTGATTCCGTCGAAATTTGGGCGGTGCTGCAGTCCCTTCAGCGATGCCAAGTTGACTGTCGGTATATCGAAGTGTTGAAGTGTTTGTACAGTAGGGCTACGATGGCTATCCGAGTACAGAACCAGAGTACGAAACCTATCCAATTGCAGAGAGGTGTAAGACAGGGTGACGTCATATCCCCGAAACTCTTTACCGCTGCATTGGAAGATGTTTTCAAGCTTCTGGACTGGAAAGGATACGGTATCAACATCAATGGCGAGTACATCACTCACCTTCGATTTGCAGACGATATAGTCCTTATGGCAGAATCGCTGGAGGACCTAAGCACTATGCTCAATGACCTCAATAGTGTTTCCCAACGGATAGGTCTTAAGATGAACATGGACAAAACAAAGATCATGTTTAATGTCCATGTCACACCTATGCCGGTAGTTGTTGGGAACACTAAGCTCGAAGTTGTTGACGAGTATGTTTACCTGGGACAAATAGTCCGACTAGGTAAGTCCAACTTCGACCGAGAGGTCAATCGACGGATTCAACTCGGTTGGGCAGCGTTCGGGAAATTACGGCACATCTTCTCGTCAGGTATACCTCAAAACTTGAAAACGAGACTGTACACCCAGTGCGTGTTGCCAGTGATGACATACGGAACTGAGACGTGGTCCTTCACTGCTGGCCGGATGAGGAAGCTCAAGGTCGCTCAGCGAGCTATGGAGAGGGCTATGCTCGGAGTTTCTCTGCGTGATAAACTCAGAAATGAGGATATCCGCAGTAGAACTAGAGTGACCGACATAGCCCAACGGATTAGTAAGCTGAAGTGGCAATGGGCCGGTCATATAGCTCGAAGAACCGACAACCGATGGGGAAGAAAGGTTCTCGAGTGGCAGCCTCGTACCGGCAGGCGAAGTGTAGGGCGTCCCCCCACTAGATGGAGTGACGACCTGGTAAGATATGCAGGAAGTCGATGGATGCAGGTGGCTCAGGACCGTGCTTTGTGGCATTCTTTGGGGGAGGCCTATGTTCAGCAGTGGACTTGTGAAGGGCTGTAATGATGATGATGATGATGGGCTATTGCTGCAAAATGCCACCTAGTAGCTTTGGAACAATGGAAAGGCGTGCTAAGAGGCTTATTGGTGATCCGAATTTGGTTAAAACCAATCTTACCAGCTTCTAACACAGACGCAAAGTAGCCCAGCCGTTCGGTTTTCTACAGGATGCATTTCGGAGAGTGTGCGCAGGAATTGCATAATTTAATTCCTCCCTCTCCCTTCCACCGTCGGACAACCAGACGTTCGGCCGGTCTCCACCCTTTCGTTGTTGACTTACCACGTATTCGAACCAAACGCATCGCTACGTTGTTCATCATCCGTACAGCAAAGGAGTGTAATAAGTTGCCAACAGTCTTTCCATCCGATTACAGTGTGAGTGTCTTAGAGGAAAGAGTGAATAGGCTTTTGTTAAGTCAGTGCGCTTCACCATCTTAGGCTACATCACCACTTACCATCAGGTGGGATCGTAGATAAGCGCTGGCTTAGTAGAATATAAAAAAACGCGCTGAGTACCAGCTAGTTATCATAATAAAAAAGCAATATCACAGTGGTTGAATTATTCTCGTCGGCAAATGATTCGTACCATAGCCAAGATCACAAATCGCTCTGCTTGTAATAAGTACAGAAAGTCAATCGATGAATGCAGGTGGCTCAGAACTATGTCTTATGGCATACCTGGGGGAAAGTCTACGTTCAGCAGGGGATTTAAAAACTGTCATAATGACGATAATGATTAAGCAATATACTAACTATCGTATAACACAAAGTCGACCTTTATTTCTAGTTTTTACGATATAAAGGATTATAAATCATGCAAACATTAATATTTTAGTCATTGATGAAAACAGATATATATTTAATGTAAATTAAAACCTCTTTTCCTACTGCATATGCAATAATATACATGAAAAAATATTAAATTTTTATTCCTGCACGACGTTTTGTAATTAGTCAAACGAAAGTTACATAATATTATAAAAATTCCACCGTTAAAATGATTAATTTGTTTTCTTTGTATTCTATTTGATGTTTAAGCGTTATCAGTTGCATATGAAACTGAACTTAAAAACAAGTCGTATAGATCTCACTTAATTTTAATAACTGAACTGTAAACGAAGGGCTAATATGGATAGATAATATTTCCATTTATTTCTAATGAATACCAATATTAGTACAGTGACCTTTATTATCTTGAGAAATCAATAAGCTACTAAGTATATATTCAAGTACAAGTACTCCATTTTCAACTATGTACAGTAACAGTTCAGCTGTGAGAGTAATTATTTAATAATAAACGAAATAAAATGTTTGCAAGTGAATTTTATATTTATGGCAAGGAAGATGTCTCGGTTCCAGCCCATTTGAATTTTGGCAAGTACATGTTAGATAAGTTAAGAAGACATAAAGATGGAATAGCTCTGGTGAGTTTCCAAAATCATAAGGTTATATTTTCAAACTAAGTTAAACAAAAACATAAAAAAAACGTTTTTGTTTTTAGGAAAATGCAGAAACAGGAGAAACTCTTACGTATAAAGAACTTACTAGATACGCTGTTTCCTTGTCTATTTCATTAATAAGATTAGGAGTAAAAAAAGGTGATATCGTTGCAGTTGGATGTGAAAAACGCATTAACTTTATTCCGACGGTACTGGCAATAATATTTACCGGCGCGACTTACACGCCATACGATATATACAGCGGCAGAGGTGATATTATTTTTTAATTTGGTTTACATTTTACAAAACTTAATGTACATACCTATAGAAATTGTACAAACAGTGCGTGTTGCCAGTGATGACTTACGGAACTGAAACGTGGTCCTTCACTGCTGGCCGTATGAGGAAGCTCAAGGTCGCTCAGCGAGCTATGGAGAGGGCTATGCTCGGAGTTTCTCTGGGTGATAAACTTAGGAATGAGGATATCCGCAGTAGAACCAGAGTGACCAACATAGCCCAACGGATTAGTAAGCTGAAGTGGCAGTGGGCCGGCCATATAGCTCGAAGAACCGACAACCGATGGGGAAGAAAGGTTCTCGAGTGGCAGCCTCGTACCGGTAGGCGAAGTGTAGGGCGTCCCCCCACGAGATGGAGTGACGACCTGGTAAGACATGCAGGAAGTCGATGGATGCAGGTGGCTCAGGACCGTGCTTTGTGGCATTCTTTGGGGGAGGCCTATGTTCAGCAGTGGACTTGTGAAGGGCTGTAATGATGATGATGAATGTACATAATATTGTTCAGACGTTTTAGCGGAAATTGTTTCACTTTGAACTCATTCTGGGCTTTTTTCAGTCTAATTTAAAAAAATAACTCGACCTTAGCGCCATCTATTAAGTCTAGATTTTCTTTTCGTCGCTAAACCAGCATTAATTATGAATATAAAATTTATAAATAACTTCACTCTTGCGCCAACTGTCGGATTCTAGCATAGTTATTACGTACATGTTTATGTGGTAGAGCCATACGGGAGCTATATTATAGTTGTAAAATGAATGGGTCGGCTCGACCGGGGAGGAAACACGCTCTCTCAGAATACCAGCTTGAAATAGCAGCATATTGCTGATGTGTTTCGTATGGTCAGTGTAGAGAACCGGAGATCCTTTTTTCTGTAAACGTGGAATTTCATCTTAGTCCTCAGTGGTGACAACGAATTTTGATTCGTAATCGAGGATAGGTGTAAATGTAGATAAGCCACAGCATTCACTTACCATTAGGGTGGACTGTGTGGTCGCTAGTAACCCATATTTTATTTTAAAAAAATGAACTATTTATTGTCTCGATAAAACAAAATATGACGTAAATAAACCAAACCGTTCAGAAGTTACCCGATTACTTAAGAACGTATCATAGATTATATGATGTACGAGTATTAAAAATGTATTTTGTTTATTTATTTCCAGCTGTGTTAAAACATAAATTGACAATTACTCAGCCAAAATATTTCATTCTTTCAAACAAATTTTGGGACACGCACAAGGATATTTTACGAAGTTTCGTTTGTATTAAGACATTCATATCATTAGATAAAGGGCAGAAAGATGCAGTTCAAGTCAAGGATTTAATAACAGATCAAGTTGATATTGCAAAGTTTGAACCTATTGAAGTGATCGGGCAGATTGATACAGCATTTATCTTGTACTCGTCTGGAACGACTGGCATGCCTAAAGGAGTACAGTTGACACATTTAAATTGCATTCTTAATAGTTCTCAAGATGAGTAAGTAAATTTCAGTGCAGTTTTAAAAAAATACATATTAGATTTTTTAATAATTTTGTAGCATTATGTAGTTAAAACAGGCTCTATTTTTATTTTAAGTAGAAGTAGTACGTAGGTCACTCAATAAGTTTTGAGATGCTCGAAATTTAAAAATGGAACACACCAGTGTTATATGTTTTTAAAAAGCAAATTTATTTAAAAACTCTGTAACTCTATAAGCCAATTGATCAATATTAAAAAAAAAACAAAGTTCTATCAATTTTCCTGCAACGTTTCCCGCGCTTTTCATTTAAAACGATGGATTTTAACCGTGAACATTTGCGGGCTATGATATATTATGATTTTAAATTTGGTTTAACCGAACAATTAAGTTTACAATGGTTAAAATAAGCATTAGAGGACTCGGCTCCATCACGCGCAACAATTTTAGGTGGTTTGCTGAATTCAAAAGGGGTAAAATTAATCTTAAAGATGACCAAAGAACCCGGGCCCCACAAACAGCAGTAACGATAAAAAATGTATAGACTACTGAAATTTTGCTGCGAGAAGACCCACGAATCACATATACGGACATCGAAAAGATTGTAGGCATTAGTTTGGAGAGCATTCATACTATCCTATATCAACATCTTGGAGTGAGGAAGCTTTGTTGTCGATGGATCCCTCGTTTGCTCTCCGAAAGCGAAAAACAGACTCGTGTGGATTGGTGCCATGAAATGGGTCTACGTTTTGAAAACGGGGTATCTAGGCGTTTTTCAGAAATCGTTACTAGTGACGAGACATGGATCTATCAATATGATTTGGAAAATAAAAGGCAATCATCGGTATAGGTCTAGTCAGAAGGACAGTTACCGACAAAACTGCAAAGAACTCGCAACGTCGGCAAAAAAATTGTGGCTAGTTTTTTTTCGCGGAGCGGACATTTGTCGACGTCAATGCTGGAAAATTGTAGGTCAGTCAACTCTGAATGGTATTCTACAGTTACATTACCCAAAGTTTTTCAAGCTGTGTGGGACGAAAGACCAAAGAACGGGCTTCGGGGAATCATGCTGCATCACGGTAACGCCTCTTCACATACCTCCCTTAGAACAAAAGCATTTACTGAGGAATCTGGTGTTGAAACTCTAAGTCACCTACCTTACAGCCCTGACTTAGCTCCTTGTGATTTCTTTTTGTGCCCAAGAGTCAAAGAAAAAATAAAAGGCAAGTTTTTTTCAAGCGCCGAAGAAGCCGTGGCTGCCTACGAAGAAGCGATTTCCGACCTGTCAGATCAAGACTGGCAAAATTGTTTTCAGAGTTAGTTTAGGTGAATGGAACTTTGTATAGAGCATGACGGAGAATATTTTGAAAATATGTAAAATAAATATTAATAGTATCTAGAATACTTTTTGTATATCTTAGAACTTATTGAGTGTCCTACATATACATCGAGCACACAGATCTATAAAAAAATATAAGAGATGATTTTGCAACTACATATAAAAACCGAATTTGAGGGTCGAGTGTCGATTGGTCGAAACCAAGTTTTGTGCAAGTGTGTAAGTCTTAATAGCCCAATCATTTTAGCATCAACAGGGATCAGAATGAGAGGTAATAAACTGAATTTTCGTATATACCTTCATTTTGGCGATCTAAAAGTTGTCTCAAAAGTCTCATAAAGTTTCTTGTCTGCGTCGTAAGTTATTAAAGGTCAAAGGTAAAAAGAAAACAGATTTTCGTGATTATCTCGGTTTATATTGCTCCAATGATGTAAACATTTAATATACAATTTGTTGAGTAAGTATAACATTTGCAACAAATTTTATGTGAAATATTTTTTCATGCCCTCAACCGCTTTTGCGATAGAGGGTGATGAGCGCGCAGCGTTCAGCCATGAGTACTGTAATGCAAGGTCAACCGTGATTATCTGTGAATTCTACCTTCAATTTTGAATAATTTGTATTATTAATTAGTTAGTACATTGCAATTAATTTTATAATACTTTTACTTTTAAAACATTCTCCTTGAACAGTCGGAAGGCATTCAATGAATAGGCGACAGTATGATTCCATAAAAGCAGACAAAGGTTACATATAATCCTAAAAAATCCTAAATATGTAAAAAAAACATTCAAAAATCTTGAAAAATGTGTTCCACAGCCAAGTAGTTGCATTTGAGCAACAAAATTAAAACAGCTTCTAATAAAATTAAAATGACATGGAATATAATAAATAGCGAAACTGGTAAGATCAACTCTCGCAATTCAAACTACCAGTTAAGTTTTAACAACATTAACTGAATCACATCAGGTCGTTGCAATGGTTTTTGCAAACCATCTTACTGATACTCCGATCTTAACCACTAAGTCACTGAATTCTGCTCCCGCCATCGCCGAATCATTGCTTAAACAAAATGTTATTAAATGCATGTACAAATAATTTTACATTTCATACAATATCATCAAAAGATACTGTAAAATATTTTAAAACTATTGATATTAAGAATTTCCATTAAAGTTATTGCGTCTATAATAGATACAATTACACCTCAACTAACTATTAATTTTAATACCAGTATCGAAAGAAAATACCTTTATTTAAATCTGGCAGTACATTAGATCCCGCCACCTTTAGACCTATTTCTGTACACTTACTATGTTTTTGAAAAAAATATTTTTGATCAAATGTAATTTTTTTTAATATAAATAATTTACTTCATAAAATTCAATTTGGTTTCACAAGGGGTCGCACGACAACTGATGTCGGTGTTTAGCTGATTAAATATATCTTTAACGCATGTGAGAATTCACAGGATACTTTGGGTTTATTCTGTGACCTATCCAAGACCTTTGATTGTGTTCACTTGTTTTCACACAGTCACTCGAAAAAACAAACAGTTAAAACAGTATAAACGTTATATAAAAAGGTCGTGTTACAGCGGTCCGTCTTCCCAGTTATAATCATGATAGAAAAATAAGTATTTGAAAATTTACACATTTTCAAGATAAAATACTTAATTAGTTTTCTACTTAAAATCTACCTTCAATAAATTAAGATATACAGTAAGTATTTTATTTAATGAGTTTTTAATTACACAAAGTAGGTAAGTATTATTAAATGAATATATTAAAAATATGTAAAAAGTTTATTAAAACAATGTATTAACTGATAATTAATACAAATTATTCAAAATTCAAGGCAGTATTCACCGATATTCACGGTTGACCTTGCATTACAGTACGTATGTTTTACAATAATATTATTAATAGGTTATTAATTATTAATAGAAATTTTATGTTATACAATTTTTGTAATAGATGTAAACATCAATTGCAAACACTGTTTTTTTTTACCTTTGATCTTGAATAACTTACGACGCAGACACGAAATTTTATGAGAATTTTGAGACAACATTTATAACGCCAAAATGAAGATACACACAAAAATTGAGCTTATTATCTCATCATCATCTTTCCGAGGTTGATCGCTAAATTAACATATCGTCATTGTTGTTCGAAAAAATTAATTAATTATAAAATAATGGGGGTTGTTGTTGTTATAAACTAATTTGCTTAATTCCGCGTAAAGAAAGAAAATGATGTGTCCTGCCCAGTTTTAAGGGGACCTCCCACCCTCCCTTCCTCAATCGCGCGCACTATACCCGTGGCCTTTAATCCCAGCACTACCACCCCCAGCAACAGCACACTAAGCACGACACACCACTCTCGAAAATACTTCACGTGTTTCGCCTCTACACGAGGCATACTCAGGTGAAGTAGACTCTGCTGAGGCTGGCCGCTAAGTGAGCTGCGAGCCGAAACTACTGCTATTTATACTACTTGCTGACGTAACCGCGCTCCAATTACGTAGCGAGCGATTACGTCATACGATCAATCACCGCCTGATCTACGCCGATATTTGCTGTATGTAACAACAAACTACTGCGAAACGTCCGCCTACCCTTAAGCCACGCAACCAAACACTGACCACCGCACCGTAAGGGTGACAAACGTCTATGTTGCGAAGCTATATATCATCAAGGAGCAGGCTTAAACATGTTTAAGAGAGGCGAGTTGGAAACATTTGCTTGTTCATTCAGCAGTGCAACATTACCGTTATTATTACTTAATATCTCTATCGGGGTTACAATTCCTGTACGCGGATAAATGCTCTTTATAACGTGTTTCGAAGTTGCGACCAGTCTGACCCACGTAAACTGCTTGGCATTCATCACAAACAAGTTTATAAACACCAGACTTTTGACGAATATCTAACTTATCTTTATAATTACAGATATTCCTAAGTTAATTGTTTGTTTTGAATGCCACGTACACGCCACTCTGTCGAATAGTATTAGCTATTTTTTCATATATAGAACCTTAGTAGGTCAAACTGCCAACATATCGACGATCACTTTGAGGTTTAACCGCGTACAGAGAATTGCGTACGACAAGTTTTGTTTCTTTTTTATTACATTGTCAATGATATTATTTGAAGGACCGTTAGAGACCGATTTTTTAATTATTTAAAAGAGCTTAATTTGATAAATCAAATTAAGCTCTTTTAAATAATTTTATTTCCTTAACGGTACAGTAAACAAACGATTAATATAACAGTAAAAAGCAGCTAATTTATGTTGCCACGGATGACATGATGACGCAGGAATGACCGTGTCGGTATGAGTTGGCTTTCGATAAATTTGAAATTTATGTACCGACTCTTTCCTTGTTATTGTTAAGTCGAGGAAATTAAGGACACATTCTTGTTTCAATTCAAGCTTAAATTTAATTTTGTCGTGGATTTTATTAATTTTATTAAGGAAAACATCCAGTTGCCTCTTTGTGCCAGACCAGAAAATAATTATGTCGTCTACATATCGATAATTGTATAAAATATTTTAATTGACAACTATGTGTTGTTTTCTCAAAATTATCCATAAAAATGTCCGCCATAAGAGGACTTAGAGGGAAACCCATGGCTAGCCCTTCTTTTTGTAGATAGAAGTGGTTCTTAAACCGGAAATAGTTTTGTTTCATACAGAGGGAGGTTAAGTTTAGAAGATCATTTGTTTCCCCGGGATGTAGACGACGTATATTAAAGAGATCTGCGAGTATACGCAAACAGTCGGGGGTGGGACTTTTGTGAAAAGACTATCAATGTCTAAAGATAACAACATGAATTTAGGTGGAATATGGATATCTTTAATCTTGGAAATGAGATCTAAACTATTTTTAAGGCAGTAAGTTGGTTTGAATCCAGATTTCAGCAGTTCCACTCAAGACAAACCTAAGAGACAAAGGCAACCTCTGCCACGCTTTCCGTGGATTTCTGCAATATCAAGGGACTTCATTCAAATCTTAAAGCCGTCCACTACCATCTAGAGACGGCAAAGCCGGCCTTGCTCTTTCTAACCGTGAAACAGGCGTCCTCTCTGTCTGATATTTCGTATCTCTCCTACCCGGGGTACAAATTAAAACACTCCTTTGTGCCCTGGGCTGGAGTTTGCGTATATGTACGTTAATGAGGACATCTGTTTTCGACGTCTCAGCAGACTTGAACTATCTTCGCGTCTACGGGTGCCTCTATAAATCCCATAGCGGTAATGCCGACACAGACCGACTCATCGACCACGTCCAAATGGCTGCAGACTCCGTGCTACAACAGGTTCCATCCGTAGTTATCGTGATGCTCGGTGATTTTAACGCCTACCACGCTGAATGGCTTAGTTACCGTTTAACCGATCATACGGGTAGATCTGTTTATGACTGGTTACTTCGCCTGCGCGGATCCCAGATGTAGAGGATCCTGTTGGACCTTCTGCTGATCTCTCATCCTGACGGATATCAGATCTCCGTCGATGCCCCTCTTGGCTCTTCGGACCATTGTCTAATCCGAAGTAGGGTGACACTCATGCTCCCATCGCAGTAGCGATCTGCAGCTTGTCGCTATGTTTGGCATTATAGGTCGGCCGATTGAGACGGGATGCGGTTTTTTTTGCATCCTACCTTTGGGGGCAGATTTGCTTCTCGCCGGATGATCTGAATGTTGTTGCTGATTCTGTCGCTGATGTGGTACTACAATAAATAGAATTATTTATTTCATCATCTATGGTACCTATCGGAGGAAGAAATCGGCCACGGTTTGGTCGCTCCTGTAAAATTGCATCACGCTATAAGCAGGAGTGCTACCGGGCCTGGGCTGACACATCAACGTCCCAGGGTGTAAACAGCAGTGATTTTAAAAAGAAGTATAATGCCGCCTCCAGGTCCTTCAAAAGTGTCACTGCCAAGGCAAAGTCAGAGCACATCGGCAGAATTGGCGAGAAAATAGTTCGCCTCCCTTCGGGAACACGTCCATTCTGGTCTCTTGCCAAGGCGGTCCAAGGGAACTTCTGTCAGCCATCTCTGCCATCTCTGCACAGGGTGGACGACTCACCGGACCACGACGCAAAGGAATAAACCGATCTGCTAGGCTTTATTTTTGCTTCCAATTCGACTCTCTATGACGGGGGGAACACACCGCCGAACATCCCGCGGTGTAAGTGCTCCATGCAGAAAGTGCTGTTTACACAGCCCTCGGTGCGCAAAGTAATCCTCTCCCTGGCCGCCAACAAGTCGAGTGGCCTAATCGAGTCCCACCTATTGTGCTGAAGACGTGTGTTCCGGTGTTGGCACCAGTTTTAACGCGTCTTTTCCGGTACTCCTACTCTCTAGGAGTAGTCACGAACTCATGGAAAACAGCTTTGGTGCACCCGATTCTTAAAAAAGGCGACCGCTCAGATTCGTTCAACTACAGGCCTATCGCTATCACCCCCTTTTTCTCCAAAGTATTGGAAACTATTATTAACTACCAGCTCATGCGGCACCCTGAGGATCACCAGCCGATTAGTGACCGGCAGTACGGTTTCCGTCGAGGTCGCCCGGCTGGTAGTGATCTTCTAGGTTACCTAATTCATAGATGGATGGCGGCAGTGGAGTCCAAGGGGGAGGCGTTGGCCGTTAGTTTGGACATTGCGAAGGCCTTTGTTCGGTTTTGGCACAAAGCGCTTCTTTTGAAGCTCCCTTCCTATGGGCTTCCCAAGAAATTGTGCAATTGGATCACTAGCTTCCTTGCAGATCGGAGCATCAAGGTTGTTGTAGACGGTGCATGCTCCGACTACAAGCCTATTAACGCTGGTGTTCCACAAGGCTGTGTGCTATCACCAACGCTGTTTCTTCTGCATATCAATGATATGTTGCTAACTGGTAACATTCATTGCTATGCGGATGACAGCATTGGTGATGCTTTATTCACCGGCCGTGCCAATATTTCTCGGGAAAACAAAGTCTCAGATTGGGAGTGACTAAATCTAGTCCAGTTTAATCCCCAGAAGACACAAGTTTGCGAGTTTACCGCTAAAAAGAACCGCTTTGTCGTATCTCCTCAGCTTTAAGGCACTTCCCTTGTTGCCTCAGCCAATATTGGAATCCTCGTATCGACATATCGAGTGATGTGCAGTTTCGTAGTCACTTGGAAAAGAAGGCCAAATTGGCCTCTAAAAAGCTGGACGTGCTCAGCAGAGCGCGACAATATTTTATGCCGGCACACCGCTTGCAACTTTACAAGGCGCATGTTCGGCCCTACATGGAATACTGTTCCCATCTCTGGGCAGGGGCTCCCCAGTGCCAGCTCTTTCTACTTGACCGCATCCAGCGCAGAGCGGCTTGAATCGTCCACGACCGACTTCTTTCCGACTCACTGGCACTGCGTAGAGATGTTGAATCTCTTTGCGTATTTTATCGCATTTACCACGGGGAGTGCTCTGAAGAATTGTTCGGACTAATTCCAACGGCTCAATTTCACCATCGCACATTGCGACAAAACCGGCGATATCACCAGCGATTTTTCCGAACCGATACGACTTAGGGACCTTCAAGAAAAGAGCCTACTCCTTTTTAAAATGCCAGCAATGCATCTGCCACTGCTCTGGTGTTGCAGTTGTTCATGGGCGGCGTTAGTCACCTACCATCAGGTGAGCCGCATGCTCATTTGCCCCCTCTCCTATAAAAAAAAAACTTCTTCGATGGCCATTATGTCCAATATTTCTCGAAGTACTGACGATTGCTGCGGACCGCAATAGAACCGAGACGATGTGGTTAGCTGAAAGACGCACCACGGCCTGCCGCTTGTGTGTTCTTGGCCTTATTCTATAAAAAATATCGTCTTTATAACGAGTGATTATCATTTATAATTTCAGTTTTAAAGACGAATCATTGCAAACAGCTTTTGTGTGCGGAGAATGGTATCATAATTATGATACTTTTATGACATATAAATTTTTAGCTGCTGGAAGAAAAGTTGTATATACTGTTGATGTCTCAGAAGAAAATGTATTAATGGGTATGGATAAATGCCAAGTAAGCATTGTAAAACATTTAAGTTACTTTCACATATTACAGCAAAAATTAAACTTAACCAAATTTAACATTGGTATTTTTTTATTACAGGTAAATATCGCAATGCTTAGTCCATCTTTTGTCAGTTATTTTTCTAAACGAGAAAACATGAAAAAAAATTATTTTAACTCAATTAAAATAATATATTCGCGTTCAGGTCCACTTCATGCTACAACGATTGAAAACTTTAATAAAAGGTAATGAAACGATATTTAATGTTTTTCCAATTGTATTAAATTTTGTGATTGATTTTTAAATTTAAAAAAGCACAAGTAAAGTACTTCATTTTATGTGGTTATTATTTTTAAAGATTTCCAGATATTGAAGTTTTACAAGGCTATGGAATGACAGAGGCTGGTGAGTTAACATCGGAAAGTTGGGCCACAAAAGGGCCTAAAGCTGGAAGTGTTGGAAAACCATCACCGTGTGTAGTACTCAAAGTAAGAACAACTATATTATTCATAACTTTTCTATTTATCTTGGGTTTACTTACTGACACCCTAATAAAACGGTATTTTTACAGATAATACAAAATTAACGCACAGTCGTCATTGTAATATTTTTGAAATATCGTAAACACCAAACTCCAAGTAATAATTTAAGGTCAGTTTTAAGACATTAACTTAGCAGCATGATATGTGATCTAAGTGTATATAAATACATATAAATACACTTAGATCACATATCGTTAAAGTATATAAAACGAAGCAGAGCTTGACTTAAAGGTGTTGCGGTCTTAGAGCAATATAAATACTGAGAGAGCGAATAATTTTGCAAACAAGATATAGGTAGATACTCGTAGATAGATAGGTAACTATTTATTGTATTTAAACAAAGTGGTTAAAATAACAGAAAACTTAAACTACAAACGGTGGTCAAAATTATTGATGATTCTACCGAGTTTATTTTAATATGTGTCTATATAAATTTCATTTCGGAAAATATGAGCATTTTGGTTGAGTGCAACTCTACCAAAATGCTCATACATTTTGCCTACTATTAAGCAATTAATAGAATCAGGCGTTACTTTACGGAAATCCATTATATTAAAGTTGGTAAAACTTACTTTGCGTATCCGCTCGACAAAATAAAATGATGTGTCTTACCTAGTCTGAAGAGCACCTCCCGCCAACCCTCAATTGCGTGCACTATTCCCGTCACCACTAATCTCAGCACCACTATTCCCAACACCACTACACTAGGAAAGACACACCACCGATGAAAATACGACACGTGTTTCGTCTCTACACGAGGTATCTTCAGGTGAAGTAGACTCTGCGGTGGCTGACCGCTAAGTGAGCGGAGAGCCAAAACAAAAAAAAAATCAGTTGTTTTGGGTATTAAGCAGCCAATTTTATTGGAAAGTCATCCTATGAACGTCTCTTGCATATGGCGCTAAATTGGGCCCCGAATGGACGGATTTTATTTAGTTAAGTTTCAAAGGCGCTTAAATAAAGTCTCTAATCGGTTTTCTATTATTCTTGTTATTTATTATACGATCGTATTATTCATACTTAACCACTTAAAATTCTATTTTGTTTAACAAAATGGTAATAAAAAACATTTTATCTTATACTTTGATTAATATTTTGTTCAATCCTGTTTGTTTGTCCAAAACTGTTAAATCTAAAATATATTATTAATACATAACACAAGAATAAAAGAAACGAAAAAAAAAAAGAAATTTACTAATATATAAATTAATATTTACGAGTGCACATAATGTAACCCATCGACGCGACGGCAGCCATGTTCGCCAAACGTAGACAGATTTTAGAAATAAAATTCGTCTTTTATTTTTAATATTGTCAGTAGAACAGCATCATTGTAAACATCCAATTTTTACATAATGTTGTAATTTATATAAATTCATATATTATCTCTTTGAGATTGCTGATCTTCAAACAAGAAAAGCACTTGGACCTAACCAGCCTGGTGAAATTTGTGTAAAAGGACCAATTTTAATGAAAGGCTACATTGGTGTTGATTCCTCAAGTTACATGGATGAAGAGGGTTTCCTAAAAACTGGTGACTTAGGATACTATGATGACGACGAATACTTTTATATTACAGATAGAATAAAAGAAATTATTAATTACAATGGAAACAAGGTAACTACAGATATTCACACAGGCATATTTGTATTATTTCATAGCTGTTTAATAATAATATCTTAAGAAATTTGAAACTGACTAAAGTATAAAAAAATCTTGATTTTTTATTTTGTTTTGGGGACGTAAGAGAGTCCATCACCTTGCTTCTGAGGTGTCGTAAGAGACGACTACGGAAAATGCACGAAAAAATGTTATGGCTTCTGATAAATGGCAGAATAAACATGTCGTTTATGTCAGACGTAAAATATCTAGACCGGTGACGAGCAGCCGCATCATAGATGCACGAAGTCACTACACTTACCGCAATGAAGTAAAAGTCAGGCAGGTTACCCTCCCAGCTACAAGAGGAGTCCATAACCAGCAGTTGAAAGAGAAGAAAGATATTTTTGTAATAATAATAATAATAATATACGACAGCGATCGTACGTCGCCACCTCTCAATTTAAAAAATCAAGGGCGGGATCTTGCGATCAGCCGATGCCGCATCTAAAACCCCCAAAAAGGGCCCTAATGTTAGTGAGAAATAATAATAATTTCTTTATTTACTAAAACATGGTGTTTATAGGTGGTATAATAGAATAAGTACACATGTTTTGCTTATAATTAGCATGCAGATTTAAGTTTATGTTACATACATTTCAAGTTACATTTATTTCCAAAAGAGTCAAATACATTCATAAAATCAATATCAACAAATCAATAATTATTGAAGCCTAAGGTCAATAAATTCTTTAATGTCATACACTTTTAGTTCAACAAACCACTCATATAGTCTCGATTTAAATAAATTCATTTGAGATTTTTAATGCCATTGGGGATCTTATTATATATTTAAACACACATTGCTAAACAACTTTTTCTGAATTTAGCAGATCTCGGAATGACGTTTAACACTAATCTATCCGGATTTCTTTTCAATCTAGAGTTAATATCTTTGGCTTTCTGGAAGAGCTCAGTATTACTTTTGACAAAGCAACTCATTTCAAAAATGTACAGTGCTGGCAACGGAAGTAAGCCCAAGTTCCAAAAAAATGCTCTACAGGACTCGCCCGGTGGAATCCCACATATGGCTCTGATGCATTTTTTTGCGCTACAAATGACCTTTGTCTCTCAGTACTATTGCCTCATGTCATCACCCCATAGAATAGAAGAATGGAGGCTACATACGCCTGGTAAGTGGTAATAGCTGTTTGAAAGGTAGTTACGCTCCTTGTTTTATAAAGAGCATAAACAAAGCTGTTAATACGCTTGCATAAGGCCTCAATATGTAATTTCCAGTTTCTATCCTGGTCTATCTTTACACCTAAAAAGTTAGTATGTATAATTTCTTTAATCTGTTCGATATTAAGGTTAAAATTGTGTTTATCGTGTTTGGGTTTATTGAATTGTACGAAATTTGATTTATTTAAATTTAATTTTAGATCATTTTCCTCAAGCCATTTAATAATGTTGTCAATAGTATTATTAATTTCAATTTCATGGTCATATATGGAATTACATTTATTTTTATCTGATGTCACAATTATTGATACGTCATAAACAAGTTACATTTATGACCAGTCACTATGGTTATGTCATTTATGAATAGTATAAACATAAGTGGACCTAGCACACTTCCCTGAGGGACGACCACACGTGTTATTATTTAGGGTAGAAGAACATGTTATCAGTTCGTTATTTATGATTTTGTTAATAGTGACGCACTGACACCGATACCTCAAGAAGGATGATAGCCACTGTAGTGTAGGTCCTCTTATTCCACCACCAGATCCGCCGCTGGAGTCGGGAAAGGGGTGGCACTAAGCACTCGAATTTCCTGGCCCCATGGCCTTCGCGTATCGGGTTCGGTGGGGTCCGATACGTATGATAAGTTGGAGGCCGAGGAGGAGGGCGCGCCATGTGTTCTGGTGCGCCTTACCTGAGAAGGAGATGGGGGAGGAGGAGAGGAGAGGCTGCCATGGGGCGACCAGCGCAGGTGGGGCCGCGGATCTGTGTGAAAGCGTTCCCGTGGCCCTGCCAATATGCGACGAGGGTGGAACACCATGGGGGCATTTCCCCATGTAAAAAAAGGGTCCTCTTATTCCAATCGTTTCAAGCTTATTTAGTAAGAGGTCATGGTCTACAAAATCGCCTTGGACAAGTAAAAAAATAGACCTGTTGTTAGATAACCTTTATTTAACTTTGTCAGTATTGTTTGCACAAGAGTAAATATTGCTAAAGTTGTCGACTTTTGTTTTGGAAACCGAATTGATCTTTATTAATGATGTTGTATGTGTTGCAATAATTAAGTATTCTCAGGTGCATGCGTTTCTCGAACACCTTCGATAGAGCAGGTATAAGAGTAATTGGGTGCTAATTGTTGACGTCTTATACAATGGTTTGACGACTGATTGTTTTAATGTTTCCGGAAACGTACCAGATGAAAATGATAAATTAATTAAATACGTCATTAGTAGGTATTAGGCACTAGTTCATCAGTACACATTTTAATTATTCTTGTACTGATTCCGTCAAAGCCTTCTGAGTTGGTGTTGTTCAAACCCATAATTTCTTTATTTAATTCTTCTTTTGAAGTCGGAAGTAGAAACATCGTGTTTGGTATAAATTTGCTTTTAGCAGTTGTTTTTTATGTCTTATTTGTCGTCAGATTTTTTGTATTAGTCAATTCAATAAAATGCTCATTAAAAGCTGAGGCTATGTTAAAAGGATTTATCAATTGTTTTATGTTTAAATTTATTGCAGTTTTAATATTGTCACATTTTAAACCATTAATTTCCTTAATGATGTCTTATATTTCTTATAATACAACACATTTAAATAAAACAAATTTTACGGCTTTTATCGCGTAAATTAACTTATTTTATACTACCGACGTTTCGAGCACTTTACAGCACCCATGGTCACGGGGGCGACTGAGGTGTATGACGTCCCAATGTCATAGTTAACCACGGTTACCTATAGATTAAAAAGTTATTAATTTTTGTCTCAATCTACGTAGTATGAACTTATAGTATCTTGAAGTCTTGCAAGTATGCTTGGGTTGGGATTTAATTTGATTAATTATGGGATCCCAAGCAGATGGCAGCACCCAGCCATCTTCTCTATTGAAATTATGATGTTTTTTGATTTCAATAGCCTCGCGAATCATCCTTGGAAGCAATCGGTGTTCTTTAGCGAAGATTTGTGGTCTATCAAATCTAATGTAGTGACCGGGGCGATCCTGTACGTGTTCACAGACTGCAAACTTCCCGGAGCATCGATTCTTCACATCAGCTATGTGTTATTTAACGCGGGTTTTATAGATCTTTTAGTTTGTCCTATATAAGAGAGACCACATTCAAAATCAAGCTTGTACACTCCTACATCTTGCAGAGGGACATTACACTTGACTGATGGTAAAAACTGACTAATATTTTTCGGCGGCTTGAAGTATGTTTTAATGGAAGCACGCTTCAAGATGTAGCCAATCTTGTCAGTGACACCTCTGACATATGGCAGTACAGCAGGCACTCGCTCGACTGTGGCCGGCTTCACTCTTTCGCTGTGACGTAGGCGCGGGACCCGAAGCGTGAGAGCACGAGGGATCTGTGACAGTAAGCATCTGGCCGCCGAGCTCTTTTTGCACGACAATAAGCTTTCACGATAAAATCTGCAGACGATGCATATGGTTTTGTTGTTGCTGTGATGACATATTTCTCGTATAACGTGTTCGATCGCGACTGAATAAGGGCGGTGGCAAGACCAACGCAGCGTTGAGTTCCTATGATGTATAAACGGTTCTTATCGTCTTCTTTATCAGCGCATACTAAACTCGTGGATTTAGTCTGTGAAGATGTTTGTGTGTTGTCCAAGGCTGATGTCAATTTTTGTTCCAGAGTCTTTATATATTTTTTTAGACATATTACCTGTCTTTCCTGCCGTGGTAGCTCAGATGGTTAGCGCTCGCTGTAAACTTCACAGTACTCGAGCAACCCAGGTTTGATCCCCGCCGGCACCAATGAAATTGTTAATTGCAATGTTAAGTGCTGATTTACTACGTGCTCGGCGGTGAAGGAAAACATCGTGAGGAAACCTCTGAGAATAAGTATGAGAAATAAGAAAATAAAACATATTTTGAAGACATGTGAAGGTCGCTAACACACATTGGGGCAGCGCGACGGACATTTCCTTGCCCTAAAACCCTCTCAGAAATGAGAGGAGGCCTGTGCCCAGCAGGTACGTAAATAGGCTGCAACTTTAGTTTACTTTTACCTGATTTTCAGTATATTTAAGCTGTTTCTGTAAGTCTTTAATTTTTTATTAGAAAATCACGCGTGGGTGTTGGAACGAGCTGTTTTCCTATATACCGGGGAAACAAATTCAGTGTGATAGTGAGAAGTGAGAGTAGAAGATACTTCTGACTGTGGTTTTGATCGTCTGTTACATTTTTCGGAGCTCTGGCTTGTTTGGCTAACTTTATGTGAATATTGATATAAGGCTGTCAACGTCTTATTTTCCTTTGTCAATTTGATTATTTTCTGTCGGAAATCGTTAATTTCTAATGTTATCTTGTCGAATTCGTTCTGTAGTATGGTATATTCCATTTGGAGTCAGCTATGTCGAGTCTAGTGATGAGTAGTTGTACCCGGTTATGAGAGTAGAAATGAATGTTATGATGATTCACCAGCTGATCCTTATTTATATATCAAGTTTGAAACTATAACGTCCGAATAATTAGAAAATTCACTTGTGTTGTCTTTTACATAGACACTCACCGAGTCAAAATGAAGTATATCCCTTTTCATTTGTATTATTGTTTATTTTTCATGCCCTCACTCTTATATTGTCGATTTTTTTTATGTTTATACACACATTTGACCTCTTATCTGGACAGGTGTCGAGTCTCCATCAGTGCCCCTTTGGGCTCTTCGGACCATTACCTGATCCGTAGTACGGTGCCACTCACGCTCCTATCGCAGTTGCGATATGCAGCTTGCCGCCGTGTTTGGCACTAAAGGTCAGCCGATTGGGACGGGATGCGGTCTTTTTTGGCATCCTACCCTTGGGGTGGGTTTGCTTCTCGCCGGATGATCCCAACGTTGTTGCTGATTCTGTCGCAGATGTGGTAGTTCAGGGAATGAAATTTTTTATTCCATCATCTGTGGTGCCTATCGGAGGCAGAAATCAGTCATGGTTTGGTCACTCCTGTAAAATTTCATCACGCTATAAGCAGGAAAGCTACCGGGCCTGGGCTGATGCATCAACGTCCCGGAACGTAAGCACCAGCGCTCTTAAAAAGAAGTATAATTTCGCCTCCAGGTCATTTCCAAGGCAAAGTCAGAGCACATCGGCAGAATTGGCGAGAAAATAGTTCGCCTCCCTTTGGGAACAAGTCCATTCTGATCTCTCACCAAGGCTGTCCAAGGGAACTTCTGTCAGCCATCTCTGCCATCTCTGCACAGGGTGGACGACTCACTAGCCCATGACGCAAATGAGAAAGCCGATCTGCTAGACTCTCTTTTTGCTTCCAACTCGACGCTAGATGACGGGGGGAACACACCGCCGAACATCCCGCGGTGTGAGTGCAGGGAGTGCTATTTACACAGCGGTCGGTGCGTAAAGCACTCCTCTCCCTGGACGTAAACAAGCCGAGTGGGCCTGATGGAGTCCCACCTATTGTGCAGAAGACGTATGCTCCGGAGTTGGCACCGGTTTTAACGCGTCTTTTTCTGTACTCCTACTCCCTAGGCGTAGTCCCGAAATCATGGAAGATAGCTTTTGTGCACCCGATTCCTAAAAATGGCGACTGCTCAGATCCGTCCAACTACAGGCCTATCGTTATCACCTCCTTGTTCTCCAAAGTAATGGAAACCATTATTAACAGCCAGCTCATTCGGTACCTTGAGGTCACCATAGTGATCTTCTGGGTTATCTAACTCATAGATGGCCGGAGGCAGTGGAGATCGGGTTTGGCACAAAGCGCTTCTTTCGAAGCTGCCTTCCTATGGGGTTCCCGAGAAATTATGCAATTGGATCACCAGTTTTCTTGCAGATAGATTCTTGTAGACGGTGCGTGCTCCGATTACAAGTCCATTAACACTGGTGTTCTACAAGGCTGCATGCTATCACCAACGCTGTTTCTTCTGCATATCAATGATATGTTGCAAATCAGTAAGATTCATTGCTATACGGACGATAGAACTGGTGATGCTTTATACACCGGCCGTGCCAATATTTCTCGGGAAAACGTCGCTGAGTACCGGAACAAACTTGTGACTGAAGTCGAGACTTTGTTGAACAAAGTCTCAGACTAGGGGCGACTAAATCTAGTCCATTTCAACCCCCAGAAGACACAAGTTTGCACGTTTACCGCTAAAAAGTACCCCTTTGTCGTATCTCCTCAGTTTCAAGGCCCTCTTGTTGCCTTAGGCAGTATCAGAGTCTTCGGTGTTGACATGTCGAGTGACGTGCAGTTTCGTGGTTACTTGGAAGAGAAGGCCAAATTGGCCTCTAAAAAGCTTGGCGTGCTCAGCAGAGCAGGATAATATTTCATGCCGGCACACCGCTTGCAACTTTACAACGCGCAGGTTCGGCCTCACATGGAATACTGTTCCCATCTCTGGGCAGGGGCTCTCCAGTGCCAGCTCCTTCCACTGACCGTATCCAGTGCAAAGCAGTTCAAATCGTCGACGATCGAGTTCTTTCAGATCGGCTTGACTCACTGGCAGTGCGTAGAGATGTTGCATCTCTTTGCATATTTTGTGGCAGCTATAACGGGGAGGAATCTGAGGAAATGTTCGGACTGATTCCAGCCGCTCAATTTCACCATCGCACATCGCGATAAAACTCGCAATACCATCCATACCATTTGGATGATTGGCGGTCCACCACTGTGCGATTTAAAAGAAGTTTTCTCCTTCGCACAACTTCCTTGTGGAATCGATTACCACCAGCGATTTTTCCAGACCGATATGACTTAGTGACCTTCGAGAAAAGAGCCTACTACTTTTTAAAAGGCCGGCAACGCATCTGTGATTCCCCTGGTGTTGCATTTGTTCATGGGCGGCGGTAGTCACTAACCATCAGGTGAGCCGCATGCTCGTTTTCCCCTCTCATATAAAAAAACATAATGAAAAATTCACATGAGCACATTTATTTTTAGTGTTTTCACCTAAATTTGTTTTTGTGGCACTTTCTCTTCGATACACCTATAGTTTTAAGTTAGTTTGCTGTGTAAATTCGATGAACTTCTTTATACAATGATTTATTATAATTACGCGAACTCTACACATTGAATAAAATTACTTTTTGAATAAAATTTACAAAAAGCTGAAGGTACTCCGGGTTAACTCTGACATCGGGATGTCAGTCACCTCAGTCCCCCGTGACCATGGTTGCTGGAAAGCAAGCGAAACATCGGGAAAATAAAATAAGTTAATTAAACGCGATAAAATCCGTAAAAAAGTAGTTTTATTCGATGCACTTATATTTTTTTTTAATTTACTACGGAGGCGATATTGACCATGGCGAGTGTCGCCACGGTCAACATCACCTCCATCCGGCCTCTCTGAATGTAAACAAGTAATAAGTAAGCTAAAACAAGTAATAGTGAAATGAGTCACCTTTATTGTAACCAATAGTGCCTAATAAAATTTGTCTTTTTTAGATTGCACCACTAGAATTAGAAACAATACTGATGTCACATCCAGAAGTTCGCGAAGCAGGAGTTGTAGGCAAACCTGTTCCTGATTATGGAGAAGTGCCAGCAGCTTTTATAGTGAAGCAACAGTCATCAAATATTACTGAAACAGATTTGATTAATTATGTTGCTTCCGAGGCAAGTATAAATCTCATATAATTCATATTACTACAACTGATTGCAATGATAAATATTTTAATTTTTAATCATTTAAAATCATCATCTCAATCATCGACTTCACATCTATACTAGAATGTAACTATCGATATAATAAGAGATCTTATAATGCCACAAGTGGAGTCGTTATCATAAAATCCAAAATTCCCGATGCACGATGAAGGATGAACGTTTATAAGACGTTCTTAGTGCTGTTTTGTCCTTTAATGTATAATTTATATGAAAATCTTGTATATTTTAATAAAAATAAGGGTATTTTTATAACTATTATTGTTAAGGGCTGGAGAGGGAGTGGTGGCAGGCCTGGTGTACACCTTGTTTAATTTGTGTTGGGAACTGCGGGTACCGGGAGACTGGTGCAAAGCCGTGATAGTCCCAATATATAAAGCAAAATGGTCACAGCAGGTTTAGCAACTACCGTGATATTAGCATTCTTCTCTAAGGTACTAATTGAAAGAGTTATGAAAGAAACTGATGGGAAATTTGGGATGTGCAAGCAGAATTTAGAAAGGGAATGAGATTAACGGATCAGGTCTTTTACTTTCGTATGCCAAAACCAAAAAGTTTTTTGTGCGTTCGTGGACTTGGAGAAGATTTATGACAAAGTGGACAGGGATGTGTTATGGTAAACATTTAACTCATTTGAGTTGAGCGCTGGGTGATACAAGCATTAAAGTTTATTTAAAGGAACTCTAATGCTTGTATCAGGAACAACGGGGCATATTCGGACTTGTTTGACATCCATAAAGGTTTCAAAGAGGGCTGCGTAGCTTTTCCGTGGCTGTTCAACATATTTATGAACAGTTGTTTGGAAAATTTTAAAGTTTAAGAATGCGGGTGAAGAATGGGTGAGTTAACCGTCAAATGCCTTTTGTAAGCCGGTAATCAATTCATATTGGCGTCGTCGGCGGCCGAGTTGCAAATGATGGTTACATTAATGAACATGTTAAAAGAAAGGGGAATGAAAGTGAACGCAAGTAAAACAAAAGTTATGGTTTTTGAAAGAGAAGGAAGTAAAACGATATGTGAAATAAGAATAAAAGGGGAGTTGGTCGAGCAAAAAGATGAGTTTGTGTGTTTGGGATGTGTATTTAGCAGAAATGGTAGATATGATAAGAATATAGAACGACGAGTGAACGCTGGAAATAGAGTAAATGGATCTTTACAATCTATTGTGAAAAGTCATAAGGTGTCAAAAAGTCACGTATGGCTATTCATAGTGCTGTGCTAGTCCCTACTTTAATGTATGATGGTGAAAGTTGGGTGTTGCAAAAGTAGCACGAGAGTAGAATAAATAATGTAGAAATGCGGTTATTAAGGCGTATGTTAGGGCTGAATCTGAATGACAGGGTGAGATTTTTTTTATAAGATAGCGTGACAAACGAGTACACAGTCCACCTGGTGGTAAATGGTTGCTGTGACGAACGAACATAGATGTCAATAAAGAATTAAAATGCAGATGCGTTGTCACCTGTGAGAACTAAGATGGAATGTCTCTTTTCCAATAAAAAGGATCTCCGGTTCTCTACACTACTAGCCTTACAAAACAAAGCACTATTATGCTGGTATTTTACGCTGGTATTATGTGAGAGCGTGGTCCTTCTCCGGTCGAGCTGACCCATTTGTGCTACAACTATACTACTAAAATAGCTGCAGCATGGCTCTATCACGTGATATGAGATACACGTGATATTGTATCATAAGAAATGCGTGTGGTTTGCAAGATTATGTTGTGACCAGGATTAAGAAAGGAATGCTTCGGTGATTTGGTCATGTAGAAAGAATGAATGAGGAAAGAATGACAAACCAAATTTATGTTACAAAAGTGAACGGCAAAGTTGGAAAGGGACACCCTAGGCGAATTTTTATCGACCAAATGGGCGATGTATTGAAAATAGGCCAAATTAAGAGTACCCTTAACAGACGAACATGTATGCGAGCATATAAGGTAGGATGTTGAGGAGCCCCCCCCCCCCCCCCCCCCCCGAACGGGATCCCGCCTTATCGTGGCGAAGGGGCTTCGTAGCCGTGGCTTAGTCACCCGCGGTGAACAAAGAGGAACCCCTTGGCCGGCCCGAGATGGCCACTCCGAGTGGGCTTGGCGACCGCTGCAGCCGAGGTGGAGTCGCAGAGGAAGAGGTGTGTTGGTATGGCGATGCGCCACTCGCTCTATCCTCCGCGACTCAGACGGGGCCGCACCGTTGATGAGGTGGTGGTAGGGCTGCGGGGGAGAGGAGTGTTGGTATTGCGAGGCGCCACTCTCCCTATCCTCCGCGGCCGAAACTTGGTTGGCGGCGGGGCCAGAGACCAGATCCGCCACTGGGGTCGGGAAAGCGGATGCTGCTAAGCGCTCGATTTTCCTGTTTTTTTTTTCAATATCAAAAAATTGTTATTTTTAAACGGGACAATTTTTTTTTATATTTTTGAAAAAATGCAAATTTAAAAGTCCCATGATTTTTTACGATAAAGTAAATATTTTCGGCGATAAAATTTTTTAAAGGTTTGAAAAATCCCTTTTTCGGATACTTGGACCCATCGAAAACATAAAGAAAAATAATAAAGTATTAAATATATTATTTTATTATTTAAAAAATGTACAAAAATGGTCCCGTTTGAAAATAACACGTCCTCGCAATTGAAATAAAATCGGTTTAAACAATATGGCACCCAGTTGCCACATGGCAACATGCATTTTTATATCATCAGTAGGACATTTTGAAGAGAATCGCATAAAAAAATTGAGGTGGAATAGTTTTCGGTACTCATGCGGCGATTCCTCCTGGACTGTTACCACATACAGTTTTTGTTTTAGTACATGTAGAATTTACATGAATATAAGCAAATATGGGGTGATTTTTCACAATTCCTCAGTTGAATGTATATTAAACAAAAACCTATCTATAATTTTTCAGGTTTGTCCGATTATGCAACTTAGAGGCGGTGTTCGATTCGTTGAAAAACTTCCTCGAAACCCCAGAGGAAAAATATTACGGCGACGATTAAGAGAAATGCTTAGTGATTAAGATAATTAATCATTAATTAAATATATTAATTAATTATCCATTTATAACTAAAACACGAAAACAGACTTTTTTATAACACATGTTTAACATATTCAACAAACAGTTATTTATAATAACTTACCTATAACTATAAACGAATGTCGTATTCGGTTCATTCATGGACTGAAATTTAGTTAACAACAAAATAGCCCTTTTTGTTTAATTTTAATACTAATAAAAAATATATGAAAATAAATGTCTTAGACTATTATATTGTTTAAAAGCTTTTACAAAAATTTACTTCGCAAATATCCGCGTTATAAAATAAAATGATGTGTCTTACCTAGTATGAAGAGCACCTCCCGCCCTCCCTCAATTGCGTGCACTATCCCCGTCACCACTAATCCCAACACCACTACACTAGGCAAGACACACCACTGATGATAATACGACACGTATTTCGCCTCTACACGAGGCATCATCAGGCGATATAGACTCTACGGTGGCGGTTAGCCACCGTAGAGTCTATATCACCTATCTATATTATATTGTTTTTTATTACTGAAGATACAAAGAAAAAGTTTACCGTCTTTTTTATTTCGTTTCTTTATATTCTACTAATTTAGAACTAGGTTTTTATATTATTATAATATAAATAAAATATTAAATCTAATACGTAATAATGAATACTCATTTGTTTGTTTATTTGTTGGTCTTTTATGCATTCCTATACATATCAGTCCTTCTAAGATACTACTTTAGCAAGTAATGCGCGCACCTGCAATAACGAGGCATTGTCATACATGACAATTCACTACCACGGCAACTGCATTTCAGAAAATTTAACACCACAAGTGTGTCACAATATTACGAAGATATACCTACCTACACGTCTTAATAAGTGCTTAAAGTTAATAAAAATTACCTTGCGTGCATCTGCAACCAACCACCAACTTAACCAAATTTAATATAATGGATTTCTGCAAAGTAACGACTGATAGCTCTTACTAATTATTTTAATAAGAGCAATCAGTCGGCGAAGCAAAGTTATACGATGATATCAGAGGTAAGACAGGATACAATATCAAACACATGGGACAATTCTAACAACGGAACATAAAAACTAATAATTTATATATCCACACAAATTATTAGCTTCGGCTCAGATTCGAATTCAGGACTATTTGTACAGACTATAACAACTAAATTACAAATTATTAAAAATCTTACCAAGCTTAAAAGGCACAAAATTGACGATAATAAGCTACTATTAATACAATAATATTAATTCATATAATTAGGACAATACAAGGAGTATTTTAACAAATTTCGATCAATGGACAAATTTCGGCTGTCTTAGTAAAGTTAAATAGCCTGCTCATTACGATTCAAAGCTAAAAAAAACACGTGTGCAGTTATTTTACACGCGGTAGAAACTTGACAGGCATTTATGGCAAATTTCCTCTCTTTAGGTAATCTATGAGGGAGGCCAATCTTCGCCAGGGGGCTTTAATAGAAGGTAAGAAATACATAATATGAAATCTGTGTACTGTATTCTATCTAATTCTCTCGCCGGTTAAAACGTTTTCACTTCAATACAATTACAAAAGGAAATACATATTGGCAACACAAATTTTAAACTACCTATTCGTATATCAATAGATTTAGAATATACAGTCTATGCGTATATCTGTTAAAAGTCGTCGCCTTCTACGAAAGCTAATAGTAATGGTAATAGAACGCTAACAGAAACGTCTTCTTAAAATAATATTTCAAAATAATATTTTGTAAATTAAGCGCTTTGATGAAATTTTTTTTAAATCTTTCATTTAGCATTTAAATTGAATATTTCCGGCCAGGGCAATGAAGCGCTTTAACCGGCAAATATTCTTTGTGGTCGGTGTGATTGATACTTTGAAATAAAAATTAAAAAAAAATTACCTCAATTTGTATTTCTTTGTGCTCTTGTCTTTTTAATACGAAATAAACTTGATAAAAAAAAATAATTTTACCCAATTATAATACCCAAAATAACATTTTAATTGTGCTTTCAATAAAAGAATATAACAAAATATGTATGCAACATTGTTTTTTATAGTCATAACTGACCCGGCGAATAAGTATTAAAAAAAAATAAAGAATTGACTATTCTTAATTTTTTTTTTATATATTCTGCTATTCGGGACACCGGGTCAGCTAGTAAGATAAAAAAGAAAAAAGAAAGTTGATAAGTCAACAATTACGTTATGTCAAAAAATAAAAATTATAATTGTTTTGCCTTCACGGAACCCCTCCACTAACACTTAAACTTTATGTTATGGTATTAAAGTTCAAATTGACTTTTAAGTATTATTACGAATCTTTTGTATGGGAATATAGAAAAGTGTTGTTTTTTTTTTACCTTTTCAGGCAATGTTTTAAATTTTTCTCTCCGTAAGAACCATCTTCGTACTTCAAGAAATATTATAAAAAAAGAATTAGCAAAATCGGTTCAGCTGCTCTCGAGATTTGCGCTTAGCAACACATTCAGCGATTCATTTTTATATTATAGATTATATATTTTATAGTTATAGTTAACCAGAAGAAAGTTAGCGTTAAACATTTTTTTTTAATTAAACTGTATGCCAATTAATTGCTCCTTAAATGCTCCAGTGGATTCCGGAATTGCTCCACATCTATTGATTGATTATTTGATTATATATTGATTTAGTTAATTTATAATTAATTTAAAAAAGTCAGTATCGAAAATTTTATATTGCTAAAAAACATAAAATATCTACTTTTTAAAATTAAACTGTATTATTACAGTACTAATTGGTGTAATTAGTACTGTAATTAGGAGTATTGAAGGAGCAATTAATTGGCATACAGTTTAATTTAAATAAATACTGTTTACGCTAACTTCCTTCTGGTAGTTATAGATTATAGTTTGCTGAAATTCTTGGTATTACAAGTAACGCATTGTGTGCAGGTAACAAAACACGCACTAGAGTTCTCCAATTTATGTCAAGTGTTCTAGGGCAGGGAAGAGTACCGCCGCAAGAAGAGTACCGCATACAACGGCAACATGGGGTAACTAAATTAGGAAATGAGCAGCAGTATCATCTTAGTAACAGCTCAAAATAATAGAAAACTGAGGTTGAATAAAACCAAAATCACGGGTTTTTTTTTAATTTTAATTATTTATATTTGAAACTGGACACTGAGGTGTTTGACGTTATGACGTCATAATTAACCCCGATGTACCTTCAGCTTTTGGATATTAATTTTTGGTTCGATCTAATGGCAGCTCTTCACGTTGGCCAACATAGTGGTGAATGAGGTGGCAAAGATATTAGCCAAGAGTTTGTGATGACGTCCACACGTTGGAAGGTTGTTCAGTTTGCTTCGGTTCAGGCCAATGTGCGGACAAATTTATTAAAACGGATATTGCGGCGCCAACGGCAGCTGTGGTTTATTTATTCACAGCATACCGCTACTAAGTGAATGTGTATAAGAAAACGGTGATCAAAAAGGAAATGGAAAAAAAGAAATTCCAAACAATTTTCGGCTTGGTAGAGCTCTATAATGCGAAAAGTTTCTTCACTGGTCATTGTTACTGCCATTTTGTAGGCACTATTTACGATGCGTGAATATAAAATTTAAATCAGGTGCTTGCGATTACTCTGGGAACTCGTAGCAAACTAAACGCGTGCCCAACGTGTGGACGCGGCCGCCAATACTCTGCCACAACCCTTTGATCTTTTGTAAAAAACCGACAACACACGGAGATCGCGCCAACTTGTGGGCCATCATTCCAATACATACCAAGTGAAGCACAAACACCCGCTCTACACGATGGCCATCGGTATAGGCCATAACATTCGCCACAACGTTGGCCAACGTGAAGAGCCGCCTTAAGCAGAATTAACTAACTTTGTCTTAAAGTCTTGCAGTGGTATGCTTGGGTTTGGATTAAATTTTATTAATTATAGGATTCCAATCAGATGGTAGCACATAGCCATATTCTTTGAAATTTAGGTGTTTTTTTTTTAATTTCCATAGCCTGGCAAATCAATCTTGCTATGAATCGAAATAATTGAAATACAAGAAATAATGGCAGGTACTATGGCAGGTATCTTTCCAATGCGGCTATTCATTGGCCATACATTTATTCAATGTACATTCAAGGTCCATATCCAACATACTCTTTTAATAGGATTCAATGTTTAAATGAGTGAATGAATAAATCAGTGTTTTACTATTAACTCACCTGATGGTAACTAACTGTTGATGAAGCCGAAAATGGTAAAGCGCACTAGCCTAACTTAATAAAAGCTTACTCAATCTTATCTTTAACCCACATTATAATCGGATAGAAAGACAAAAATGCTTACCAAATTATTCCAATCCTTTGCTGTACGCATTGCGAACAACGAAGAAAACCATTTGGTTTGTTTGCGTCGTATGTCGACAATAGAGTTGCTTGGCCGAGTCGAATGGAAAAACTCTCTCCGAAATAAATGTTTCCTGTGAAACAGGATGGCTATTTTGTGTATGTGGTCGAAACTGGTAAGATTGACTTTAACCAGATTAAAATAACCAATAAGCCTCTTCGCGTGCCTTTTCATTAAGTCCAAATCAACTACGAGGCATTTTGTAGCACAATCCATATACTCTGTGCAAGAATGACAAGCAACTATTTTTTATGCAGAGTAATAAGCTATCCCAGCGTAAAGCTTCGACGCACACTGCAAGGACAGCAAAGAGTAAAAGTAAGTAGCATATTAAGATATATAGCAGTTAAAAATAAACTAGACAAGAATACCACGAAAGTCTCAATAGAGTTAAAATGTGGTAAAATAATTACGACACATCTCCTCGTCAGATATACCTTAAAACATGAAAAAGAGACTGTACAGTTAGTGCGTGTTGCCAGTGATGACTTATGGAGCTGAGACGAGGTCCTTCACTGTTGGACATATGAGGATGCTCAAGGTCGCTCATCGAGCTATGGAGAGGGCTATATGCTCGGGATTTCT